AAAAAATGGGACGTTTTTTGTCGAACCTCGAGTAGTGACGTTAGTGACTTAGTCAAAGAGCAACGACAACGTCTCATGAAGTAAAAAGCACTACATGACAGCTGCTCATCATCTCCCCGGCCTGATTTCACGTCACCACGCATTAGCAAAGGCGGTCCGCAGCGAATCGATCTTTTTTTTTACCTCGCATACGTCACTCACAGCCGGAAAGCTCTTTTGCTCTTTTCGGCCAGAGCACAACGTAGCGCGACATTCGAGCAGATGTGTTCTTGAAATGTCTCGGTGCCGCTATGAATATTAAGCAGTCTCATATATGCGTCTGTGCTATTCACACTATCCAAACAAGGATCTCGCTCGCATAGCGCCACTTCTCAGCAGGACATACTATCAACTTCGAACTGCCCATTTCTTTACTGAATGTTCTTGACAGTACGATATCGCCCTCTTCCCGCACATGTTTCTTTGGCATTCAATTCAATGTACATTCTAGATGGTTCAAACATGCAGTAATACTCCTCGAGGATCAAATGCTATGCCTTTGCCCGAGTTCACCAATGATACTGTACATCTCTCAAACGGGTACACCTATCACGATTCATTCACTTCCCTAATTGGATTGGGATCTTTCGGAGTAGTTTACAAGGGCTTCAATGAAGAAGAAAATAAACAAGTGAGTTCTAAAATCACTTCATAAAAACTTTTTCACTTCAGCAAATTTTGTGTAGCTCCAATGGTTTGAATCTTGATTTGATCTCTTTTTAGGTGGCAATCAAAAAAATGTCAAGGGTGCATGTGAAGGAAAACGAGCTTAAAGTGATTAGGTAAGCAAATTCAAAACCATTATGCCTCGATGTAATCTCACACCTTTTCTTTTCAGATCTTTAAAAAGCGCATATTTAGTTGGCGTATTGGATATCTGTATGTTAGATGACGCCACATGCTGTCTTATAATGGAGTTCTGCGATGGCGACCTTGAGTTCCACATAAAAAACAATTCGAACGATGGACGTCTCAACGATGCAAACCTTCGGTAAAAAAAATTTTTTGCACGATGCTTTCTTCCACAAGTATTTCTATTTTTTCCAGACTTCTCATCGATAATATTGCTCGTGGTTACAAGGATCTATACGATTTGAAAATTGTCCATCGCGACATCAAACCCCAGAATATCCTCATTAACTACGTTGGAAAAAGCAAACAACTTTTGTCTGCAAAGATTACAGACTTCGGTGAGTGTCCCAATGAAAACATTCAAAATCACTATTCTTAAATTTAGGCATTGCTCGGACCATAGATACCGAAGCACCTGACCTCTGTAATGTTGCTGGCACCTTATTTTACATGGCCCCAGAAGTAGGAGCAAATTTGCTAAAAACCTGCCAATACGATTCGAAAGTTGATATGTGGAGCATAGGATGCCTTTTATACCAGTGTGTCACTGGAGAGGTAGGATAATTTGAAGTTTCGATTTACTATGAGCAACAAGGTTCTCCAAAGCATACTTTGATGTGGATTAGGGTTTATCTAAGTAAATTTGATTCGATTACGCTAGGGCAGATGGAGAGATGTATTGCACTTCTACTGCCATGGTGACTCCCGAGTTCAAAAGCGATTTGGAATATTTGCAGTCATCGAAACGCTCATCCCCCCCCCCCCCCCCC